AGCTAGCCACGTAAATCTCGTTTAAGATCTGGGCCTTCATGCATTGTGGCTGCTACCAGAAAGAATGAAGAAGTAAGTATTATTAATAAACCATGAGAAAGCAAACTGAGCAGCACTGGGTGACCAAAACGAAAAGATCAGCCAGGAAAATGTATCCATCTGCTCATCGGCTGAGAACACAGCTTGGTACTTGATCTACAATTAAATGCAGTGCTGGGAGGCTGTTTGAAACCTTTAATGAATTAAATCCCTTCTCGCATGCCGGTGGTCAAAGACTCACACAAGCATCTGGCTCCGATAACCTCAAACAGCCACTGAACAGCACGATCCAAATTTTAAAGCAGCGGAACAGCTGCTCTCACGCTGGGACGGAGCGAGGCATTTAACATCCTAACACCATCTGACATGCCACCAGCTCCTAAGGAGATGCTCAGCCAGGGGCGGGTCACAGATCGCAGGCTCTCAAATCCATGCGTGAATTTCCGGTGGGGGTAAAAATCCATCTTTAGGAAACGCAAGGCCCCAGTTTGAAGCAAGGGGCCCCCATGCCCTCTTGCATTTTTGAACCCGGAGGTGGGAAGGCAAGCAACCAACTTTTGGGGGCCTCTCTGTAAAATGTGAGTGTCCCTCGAAACATCCAGGCCCGGATCAACCTGTCTGTGGGAGGCTGCCTGAATCTGCGCAGAGCCTGAATCGACAACAAACTGGTCTGCATGCCCCTGCAACGCTGCTCTCTAGTGGACAGACTTGGTCCTACCCCTTTCCCAACTCTACACCCCTGCCCTGCTCATGAGTGTACCAGATCTCTCTACCAGCCTAGTTAAGAGTTACCCTTTTAGTTCACCGACTCTTGGGTCTGGGGAGTTGACAGTCACAAATTTCCTCTCTCGTGCCACATGCATGTGGTTTGTGGGTGACCTTGGGGCCTGTGTATCTGCAAAAAAACCCAAACATGGCAATGCCTCAGAGCCTGAGTCAACTGACGTGGGTTTGCAGGGCTCGTCCGACGGGGCTAAAAATAGCCGTGCAGACGTTCCCGCTCGAGTTTCAGAGCCCGGGCTCCAGCCAGAGGTGCCGACTCCATGGGTGCTCCACAGCTCAAGCACCCATGGAAAAAAAAATAGGGGGTCCTCGGCACTCACCATCCACAGCTGTTTGGCGGGGCCCCGGGACTAGCCACCCAGCAGCGAGCGGTTGACGGGAGGCACTTGGATGACGGGGGGTGGAGAGGAGCGAGCAGTGGGCGGGCGGGAAGGGCTTCGGGGGGAGAGGGGGGAGCGAGGGCGGGGCCTCGGGGCAGAGCGAGGGCGGAGCACCCAGAGGGAAAAAGAAAGGTCAGTGCCTGTGACTCCAGCCCAAGCAAGAACATCTACACTGCTATTTTGAGCCCCGTAGCATGAGACCCGCGAGCCCGAGTCAGTTGACCTGGGCTCGGAGACTCGCTGCGGTGGGTTTTGTTTTTTCTGCCAGGCGGGCATACCCAAAGCGGCCGTGCGCTGCGAACTCCAGCTAAGCAGACTCTGCGGGACAAAATAAAGAGGCCTGTAGTCCTACTCCTAGCCGTCTCAGTGGCTGACTTCGGCTCCTCTGAAGTTTGAGGGAATTCCTCTCTGCTCTCAGCAGTAAAAGAGGAAAGTCCCCTGCTGACACATTACTTCGATAGCAGACGAGCATTGGAGAAGTCAGCGAGGAAGCTGCTAGCTGAAGCTTTAAAAGGATAATAGCGAGATATTTCGATTGGATATTAACCTCTCCAGCCAGCTGTCCCATCAGGCACCTGCAACTGTATTAACTAGTCTTAAGAAGCAACAAGGAGTCCTGTGGCACCTTCTAGATTAACAGCACCTTATAGACTAACCTGTTAGTCTAGAAGGTGCCACAGGACTCCTTGTCGCTTTTTACAGATCCAGACTAACACGGCTATCCCTCTGATACTTATAGGGCGACCAGACAGCAAGTGTGAAAAATCGGGACAGGGGGTGGGGGGGGATAATAGGACCCTATATAAGAAAAAGACCCAAACATCGAGACTGTCCCTATAAAATCGGGACATCTGGTCACCCTAGATACTTAACTAGTCTTAGCTGGGCTCTGATCCTGCATTCAGGTACACACATGCCGCTGCAGTCAATGGGACAAGGATGCTCACAGTTAAGCGTGCGCATAAGCATTTATAGGTTTGGAGTAATGAAACCCTGATACAAAGAGCCGTATGTTTGGAAATAGACCAGCAGCGTTATGCCCAAGTCAACCATCTGCGCCCTGTCCTTGTACAGCCTTTGAGTTTCACTAATCGAAGGGGACATGACATGATTATATTTTTTAAATGGTCACTTGACCTCAGTGTTCCCCAAACAGGGCTGGTTTCTCTTGGCTTCCTGCTGAAGCCAGACCCCGGCTGCACTGCCTGGGAGGAACGGGGTTATTGGCCGCAGATCCCAAATGCCGTCACAAAGGATGGAAAATTCCAGGAGACGTTCCAAGAAAATTACTGGGAGGGGGAGCTTGTTGGCTGGGGCGTGAAGGGCTGGGGGAGAGGCCAAAGCGAACTAGCCTGGGAGAGGAAGATCGGAAGAGGAGCCCCAGCTGAGAGATGATGATCTCCAAGGAGCGCAGAACAACATTTACCTGCTAGATGTCATGGGAATCTGTCTGTGGGTCCCAGGAAGGGAACTTCCCGCACAGTCTCAGCTGTTCAGAGGCAGCACCAACCACCACAGAAACTAGGCACCAAAACCCACGTAGGGTATCACCCTTCTGGCTGCTGCAATCAGGGGACAGCCTGAGAAGTTGCAGCCAGGAGAGCGGAGCCCAGGTTACTCCAGTGGCGATTCCCCACCAGATCGCTCAGAACTTGGAAACCCCCTTCTGTCGCCAAGTGCGAAACACTACAAACGTGCCAAGCAGATTTCTGCTTCCAGACCCTTGCCCCCTGCCTGGTTTTGTTCACTCCTTCTTCACCCTGCCCACTGCCAGGCAGTCCCCATCTGCTGCCTCCATCACCCAGCCTGCCTGCTGCTCCCTCCACTGTCACATCCGCCTGCCCCACGATTTCCCTGCCCCAAGCTGGTGTTACCGGCGGGCCCATCACTCTGCCCAGTACTAGCCCACTGAGTGCTTGGCATCACGCATCTCGGCTGCTGCTCCTCCAACACCCTCTTAGAATTCGCCTCTGATCACGCCTCCTTGTAGTGTTTGTTCCCCAAGGGACCAGGACACAGCTTCGGTCTATCTGGCCCCCATCACCTTTCTCCCACCATGTCTTTTTCCTCCCCACACCTCTGTGAGGTAGGGTGGTGCTGTTATCCGGGAACGTAGGCACAGAGAGGCTAAGTGACTGGCCCAAAGTCACCTGGGGAGTCTGTGGCAGAGGGGGGAATTGAACCCAGGTCAGAGTCGAATGTCTTCACCACCGGGCCAACCTTCCCCTCACTAGACCGATCCTCTTACTTGGAAAGCAGAAGGGGTGTGTGTTACACGTCCCACTCTGTGCCTGATCCGCAGAGGACATGAATCTACCACAGCTGCCAGCTAGGGGATTTGGGGTCTGATCTAACACCTGTGTAAATCATAAAGGCTCATGCTCCCAGCACTGGAGGGACCAGGTCCAGTCCTTAATAACAGTTGCTACAGAGGCACCACCCCGAAAGGCCTGGGCTCAGAGGCTCCTACTGCCTGTTCGGCGCATGTGAGCACGCAGTCCCCATGTGAGGGTCAGACATGATACCAAAAAACACTACACACCAACCCTCTACAACTCATCTTCTGGGCAAACCCAAGCTCCTCCCGAACTCCACGCGCTCACGCCAACATGTATGGACCAGCTTCCAGGACATGCAATTGCCTCACTCAAGCCACTAGCTATGGGCCATTGAACTGCAAAACACTACAACCATACAAAGTACATTTCTGCTCCCAGACCCCAGCGTGGCCGTCCAGTGGCAACCGGCCCCTGTCCAAACTCTGCTAAGCACAGAATACTGCTTCCAAACTTCGGCTGTTTTGAATCCTTTTCTGCTCCAGGAAGTGACATTTACTCCACTCATCGGCTCCGAAAGCCGCATTCATTCCCCCTCTGCTGTGGCTAGCCCCTCACGCTCGCCCCGGATGTCACAAAACACGGGGTCACTAAATATTTACAAGCGCACCAGCTGAGCGGACCCTAGTTTGCAGCATCCAGCTCCTGAAATGCCCCCTCCCCCTAAAATGTACCATCTGCAACTTCATTGTGGGGCTCTGAAGTTGGGGGAATCAACCCCCTTGGCTGCTTTTGCTCTTGTTCCCAGTGGGACTGTGACACACAACAGGCTAGCAGGGAAAGCGTGAGGTTGTAGCTGGAAGGGGCTCTGCTGGGAGACAGTTATTCTCAGAGCAAGCCAGAAACTTCTTAAGGAAAGTTTAAAAACAAAACAAAACCAAACACTCACCTAACTCCAGAACTGATCTGAATTAGAGACCAAATCCCTCCCGAGTGTATGGAAAGGTCAACTAGTTAGATCCTCCGGATTCCTTCTGGGCTCCCTCGGTTTAGCTGTGAGATCCCAGGGTCAGGGAAAAACCTCACACACGCACCAACCCTTGCTGGGGTTTTCATTAAAGAAACTCTGCCTGATCTTTCCCGCCCCCCCTCCCAGTGATGTCATATCCTGAGTGTGTCTAGAGTACAGCTGCCTTAGCAATAACTGACTCAAAAAAGAAAGAAAGAACTCGTCGCTTGCCCTGCCCCCTACGCCTCAATCTCTCTGTCCCTGCTTCCACTCTGTGGTATGCAGCGTAGTTGTAGCCGTGTGGGTCCCAGGATATTAGACAGACAAGGTGGGTGAAGTAGTAACTTTTATTGGACCAATTTCTGTTGGGGAGAGAGAGAGAAGCTTTGGAGTTTACCCAGAGCTCTCCTTCAGCTGTGGGAAATCACTCAGTGAGTCACAGCTAAATACAAGGTGGAACAGGTTGTTTCGCATAAGTAGTTAACATATATTTCAAGGGTTCATTCCAGGTGAAGTGGCCTGTTATCACCCCTCCAGTCCTGGGGGGCAGGAAAGCTGTGGAGGGAGGAATTTAGTGTGTTACAGAGTTGTTGTAATAAGCCATAAATCCAGTGTCTGTATTCTGTCCATGGGTTCCAGCATCTAGCAGAGTTATGAATTTAAGCTCCCAGCTTTGTCATGTGCAGGTCTGTTATGATGATCAACACCCCCCACAACACACCTTTCATGATCCATGGGTCCCACACATGCCTATCACAACATGTGGCGTATCTTATCCAGTGCACTAAATGCCCCTATAACAACCATGTGGGTAAAACAGACAATCACCACGCTCTTGAATGAACTCAAACAGAAAAATGATAAACAAAAAACCCCATCTCACCTGTGGGAGAGCACTTGTCACCAAGCGATCGCTCTACAGCTGATCTCTCAGTCCTCGTCTTCAAAGAGACCTGCACAATTCCTTCAAAAAATGAGACTGTTAGATGCTAAAAATCGTGGACCAAATAGATACACTGGATGTATTGCTTTTTACAACAATCTATAACCCTTTAAACCCCCACCCACAATGACTGGAGGGGTGTTAATAGGCCTGAATGATCCCTTAGAATATGTGCGGTTAACTACCTGTGCTGAACAATCTGTTCTACCTTGTATTTAGCTGTGATGCTGGGAGTCCCTTTCCCAGCCCTGAAGAAGAGCTCTGTGTAGCTTGAAAGCTTGTCTCTCTCACCAACAGAAGTTGGTCCAATAAAGGAGATTACCTCACCCGCCTTGTCTCTCTACTCTGTGGAGATTTTTGCTGTGTAGCATGTTCCTTGGGAAAGTGTAAAGCACACATCATGCTTTGATGCTGCAATATCTCCTTTGGCTGTGGGTCTTTCATTGGGCTTCCCCTAGTTGGCTCCAGCCCACAGATTTACAAAGGAATGTTACATGTGGCAGTATAGCTCTCCAAATGAAAAAGTTAATTGAGGGGTGGGACCGGAGGAGAGAGAAGGGGGAGAGAAACATTTACTATTCGCTTTCCCTCTGCCACTGAAAATCAGCTGGTGGATTTAGCCTTCAGTGCTAGCACAACCGTCACCAGTGTTCGGAAAAAGAGAGGTTCTCTTGAGCGAATTGGCTTTAAAGTTGCTTCCTTTAAATGTCACATTCAAAACAGAGCTCTGATCCTGCAGTTCGGTGTAACTGAGCCTGTTTCTATGAGCAAGATTGGGTCTTTACATTTGTATATGATAAAGTTCCTTAAGGGGACCAAAACTCTCGGTATAAACCTGCAATCCTGGTGGTCCCCAAAGCTGCCTCTAAATCCTATGGACATTTTAGGGGTGTGAGGAATTGAGAATCAAGCCCCCCGCGAGTTCTACACAGCAAGTTTCTGTACTTGTGTAATTAACAACACCTTCAATTTCTACGACAAAGGCTTTTACACATCCAATTTCCTTCACTGTTTGCTCTGTAGGTTTGCTTTCTGCCTCTCTCTCTCAGCTCAGCAGCTTAGCTTTTGCTTATAATCAGTTTCGCCATCAGATTGCCTTGTATTGGCACAAAGCTACAGCGTTTGGGTAGCAAACATTGCTGGAGAATGTTTGCAAAAGCGGTTTATACTGGGGGGGAAACGCCATGGCAACATTTCTATTGTTCTTAGCTTCTGTAAACCCTTATTCTATACAAGGGAGATTTAGGGCCAAGTTTGTCCACATTGTCCATTAACTATTGGCTACATAAGCTACATAACGATCCTTCCCTGGCCCCCCAAGATTGGCTTGTAGCTACTAACAATACCCTGATTTTCTTAAAGGGGACCATCAACATATATGTAATCAAATCCCTCTGCTACTAATGGCAGCTTCAGTTACTAAAATTAAAGAATGTGAAAGGTCTCATTTATTTCCCACTATTTATGGGCCTCGTTGAGCAGTCAGGGGACACATGCCTTCTTAGATAGAGTCAATGGGAATTCAGCCAGAGTGCATCCTAAGTTACTTTACTTTTCTCTCCCTCTGCTTGGGCAATGAAGCTAGACTGGCCAGTTTAATGTTTAGGACCATGCAGGCTTAGACCAAAGGTCCACAGTGCCAATAACTTTCCTCTGACAGGGATCAGCACCAAAGATGCTTCAGAGTTAGAGTTTTGCAACAACCAGCTTATATATGCATCTCCCAGTGGCAGCCCTTTATCATGCAGCATGATGGTAGGTATAACTCATATGCTTTTATCCTGGTTAGTATACATTCAGACACTAGTTATTACCCATATAATTGTCCAAACTTTACTTTAGAGCCTTCTTTTTCTCTAAAATGATATCATGTAGCAGTGAGTTCCACAGGTTAATTGTTCCCAATGTACTTCCTTTCACCAATTTTAGGTTAATAACTTTTAATTTCATCAGATGCCCCTTGTGAGGAAGATGTTGCCAACTGGCCTTCTCAAGACCGTTCATTATTTTATATACCTCTGTCAGGTCACCTCCTTGCTATCATGGTTTATAGAACCATAGTCATTCTTAAACAGGAGGCATTTATTCAAGAAACCACAGCTAAAGACAAAAACAAACAGGCTTCCATGTAGCTTGACTCCCAACTTTGTCTCCTTTGTTTACCAGCATAGTCGCACCCTGCCTGGAACTCTATACAGCACACAGGGTGACCTAGTGGCTGAATAATACACTGCAAGAAAATGTATAGTTACACTCACTGAAATCTGGCTCCTCCCCAAAATTCAGGGATGCTCAGATCTGGGTGGGGTCTTGCTTTAAATCCACCTCTAACAATATTAAAATTTCACACAGCTCCGGCAGTAAAGCAAGACAGAGGAAACTCTGATCTTACTTCCACTGGTTCACACCAGGAGTAACTCCGCTGAAGTCTCCGGAGTGACACCACTGTGAGAGATCCGGATCAGCCGCCAAAGATTTTGCTCAGTCCGGGACACTGCCTCCCCCTACTCCCCAGCCTGCCTGCATCACAAGTGTTGCCCCTTCTCAGCACTGTGGGCCTGGTCCGATGCCCATTGAAGTTAATAGACCGTCCACTGACATCAACGGGCTGTGGATCAGAGCTTATGGCTAGTAATTGCAACAGGAGGTGTGGCAGTGTCATTGCCCCGTCCATGTCACATTCCATTCCTGGTGCAGAGTGCTCCTCACCTGCCATCTCAGCCACTGGCTGAGCAAGACAGGAAGAACGGTTAGATTTGCCTTTCCCTTTTTATCACACTTCAGAATCGAGTTGAGTGAACATGAGTCATCCAGGAGGCAGGAAGCCACAGACCCATCAGCTTGCAAAAATCACAGACCCACCCTCCCTCCCTCCCCCTGCAGCTCTGAATTCTAAACTGTGCCTCAAGAAAAGGAAACAAATGGGAAACAAGAAGACAAGCTCCCCCCAATCTGTTCCCTTTCCGGGCCATCGGCCTCTAGGCCAGATCCTAAACAAGTGCAAGTCAGCTTAGCTCCACTGAAATCAACGCAGCCACGTCAATTCCCACTCGCTGAGCATCTGGACCTTTGTCCACAGTCATTTTGTAGTTACATTAAATCATGAGTCTCCGTCTCCAACCTCTCTGGGATTTCCCTTCTGCTGCTGTCAGCCACAAGGCCGGGGGCGGTTAATTTTTTGCATTAGCTGGGAGGTTTGGAGGCACAGATGTTTTTCACATTTTGCTTTCGTCCTTTGCAGATGGCTTGACGTTTACACGTGGCACCAGGACAGCAAATGTCTGACCTAAGAGTGTCTGATGTACATTTCACCTTCCACACAGAGGGCCCAACCCTGCAGAGCCTTACACACTAAAGTTCTGCGAGTCACCTCCATAAGTCTTAGCACGACGGGGCCCTAGTCCCCCAAGTATGGACTCCGCTTCAGATGATGTTGAATCTTGTTCCTTTTGCTACCAGCTACAGGGACAGTCATTGACAACAGTAATAATACTATAACCCAGGGGTGGCAAGACTCTTCTAACCAGCTCTAATCAGCTCAGGTTTGTTTCACTCACAGCCTCCCAAAGCAAACAGCCAGCAGAGGGACAGATATCCAGAATCCTGGTCCCTTTAACTCTTAAAGGGGCCTGCAACAGATTTTTTTTTTTTTTTAAATTGGGATTGTGCCCTTATTTCTGAGACAAGAAGGACTACCCTCCCCTAAATTCAGGGATGCTCAGATCAGACTGAAATGGGTCTCCACCTCTAACAATAAAAAAATTTCACATCGCTCTGGTAGCTAAGCAAGGCAGAGGAAAATATTCTGATCCAAACACCCCTGTAACACCATAGGCTGGCAACAGAGGGTAGGTTTCGTGTGGGAGCTAGAGAGACCCAGAGGGTTTGTCTGGATCCAGCAGCCCCAGTAAAAACCTTTCAGAGGAGAGGGAAAAAAAGAGAGGAATATAAAAATGGCCATTCTGGGTCAGACCAAAGGTCCATCTAGCCTAGTATCCTGTCTTCCAACAGTGGCCAATGCCAGGTGCCCCAGAGGGAATGAACAGAACAGGGAATCATCAAGTGATCCATCCGCTGTCGCCCATTCCCAGCTTCTGGAAAACAGAGACTGGGGACACCATCCCTGCCCATCCTGGCTAATAGCCATTGATGGACCTATCCTT